GTTACTGAAGATGTTGCCAAATTAACTTTGACGTGTTCCCCACTGACCGACTGACCAGTCATAGCTTTAAATCTTATAAACAAGAGCTCTGTGATTAATTCACTAGATGTTTCAGTTTAAAAAGTTTAAATATTTTTAAAAGTTCTATGCTATTGGAGCTGTGGTTTTTCTAATTCCAAGATGAAGCAACAAGACAGTTTTACACCTAATCATGTGTTAATGATTGCTGAGGGACTGTTTTCTACAAATTAATCAGAGAACACTGCAAATTTTCAGAAATTTTTGACTGGCTGCAATGTTCAATGTCTTGTATAGGTATGGGGTAGGCTGGGGGTAAAAGAGGTGGGATACTAAAATGAAGATGAGCTGGTCTCTACCTTCAAGGAGCACCCAAACTAACTAGAGTCCAAGACTAGGTATGGTAAGTTTGAAAATTGCCTTGTTTATGTCTGCAGATATTAAAAATGTAGCATTCAAGTAATTACATATTTAAAGATAATGGTTGCATATGTGATTCTATAACTTCAGGGATATTCTTTGGGTTTTAAAAACCATGAGTTGAAGACAGTTATTAAGGTAGTAAATTAATTCTTCACTATTGGATAGACAATGATAGTTGAGTTCTAGTGATATACCAATATAAGACTGCTCAAATTTGTATAAGAGCATTTGACTTCTTCGTTATCATTATGGAGGTTAAATGAAATAGCTTATTTTTTGAAGCTAATTACATTTATAATAATAGGTATCAGCTGGTGGTTTTATAAATTATGCTTTAATTTTTCAGTAAAATGTGTACCTACATTCGTGGTTATAAAATATTCATTTACTTACTTAGTAAACATTTTTATGATTCTCTGTGCCTTGGCAAATCAACAAAATTTGGGGTTTGGATTTTTATTGTACTGTGTTTGAAATGAATGAACCTTTTACTTTGCTTCCATAATATAAACTGTTTTGTAAAATCAGGTAGCGAAGAAAGTAATACATTCTTTGTGACATATGCTCGGGTATGTAATTTACAGATTCCATCCTGGTCCTGGTTTGTTTGGTCTCTAACCCTTCTGATCTACAAAATCCTAGCAACATTTAAGTATCTATCCCTTGGTATCTACAGAAACAAAACTTATTTTTATCAAACTTTAAATATCCTAAATTGACTTCTGTGTCTGTGGCTGATTTGCAAATTAAGGGATTAAGTTTCCTTCCACTGGCTAAATTCCTAATCCTTTATTTTCTATTTACATAGTTGCTAAGGTCAAGTTTCTTTCCAAGTTTTGCTTTTCTTGACATGTTTATTTGTCAGAGTCAGGGGAGGGGGATAGAGGAGGTGATGTGTGTTTTATTGCCCAGCAACCTGCAAGTATAAGAATACGGGATGGTCCTTAAGTAGACACTTAGGTCAAAGATATTTCACTGGAAAAATTAAAGTAAGTAAAAGCAGTAGCAACATGGAACAGGATTAATGCATATGTTTATACAAATTTGTTCGGACTTATTTAGTCTTTTGTTTAATAAGACGTCTCTCTCTATAAGCATCATTTTTGTCCGTTTTGTTCTCTGACACCCTGTCATCTGCCCCGGGCACAGTATAGGTGCCAACAATGCTTTGTTGATTAATTGAATCACCACATGAGTAAATGAATGAATGAGTGACACATTTCACTGGCAGTTTCTGGTCTTCTACTTTATTATGTTTACTTTATTGAACTTTTTGGTTGATATTCTATTAAATAGTAAGGTAAGAACAGGTACTTAGATGTTTAGTTTCTAAATGATTCTAATTAATGATTTTTAAAAATGATAGAATCGGTTTTTTCCTGTAGGAATTTATCTCATATTTTGAAGTTACTTATCTGTTATGGGCAAGGTAAAAGCATTTTTATATCTCTATAATACAGTTACACCTATATCTTTTCTGCTTATGGTTCTTTTTTTTTTAGAAAATCAACTCATGCATTTGAAAAAATACTTATATGATTTTTTTAATCTTCATAGAATTTACATTTAATGAAGTTTTGCTCAGATGTATCTGAAGAGTATGTGAAACAAGGTTTATTTTCCTCTTACAGGTTTGTGTTATATGTCAGGATAATTTAGGGTTATTAATGAATACATTTATATAATTTAGCTGAAAGTAGATTAAATAGTTTTAAAGAAATTTTAAAATGTGTTAATTTTTTAAGCAATGCGTTTTTCCTCAAAAGAAGCATTATGAGAAAGGGAATAACATATGCAGGTTAGAATTCTCCATTTTAATAATAAATACAAAAATTTAATGGTAGTTCTTCTAGAACAATGGGTCTCAAAGTTTTGGTTTCAGGAACCCTTTACATTCTTAAAAATTACTGAAGACTTCAAAGAGCTTTTGTTTATGTGGGTATGTCTGCCTATATTTACTGTATTAGAAATTAAAATAGAATTTTAAAATATTTATTTAAAAATAACAATAGACTCACCACCTGTTAGTGTAAATAACATTTTTTTTTAATTTTAAAATATATTTGCAAAGCAAGTTTTTGTGGGTAGCAGTAGAGTGGTACTGCTTTAAATTTTTGCACCTCTCTCTGACGGCTTGGATTCCTACATCTGCTTCTGTTTAATATGTTTCAATATGGCGTGTTATGTATCCTCTAGAAAACCCCACTGTGTACTAGTGAGAAAATGCAAGTAAAAAAGGCAAATAATTTCTTGGCATTGTATAAATATACTTTTCATCTCATAGGCCCCCTGAAAGGGCCTTGGACCACCTTTTGAGAACCACTGCTCCAGAGCTAGTGGGATGGGAGGGTGAGTAGCACTGAGGGGAGGAGGGGACTTTGACTTTTCCTTTTACACATTTCTATGTCATTTTTGAATTTTTTATAATGAGCATAATAATCCTTTTGTCATTTTAAAACACACACAAAAATAAAATGAAAGGGTATGTGTGGCGGGGAAGATAATTACATCTGAAAAGAAGGTAATACAATTTTTGTTTAAACATCAAAAAAAATTCTCATTTTAGTTTCTAATTACATAATATCAGAAAAATCGAAACTTAAAATTTAGCTGATATATTTTAAATAGGATCCTAGCCAAACAAGCAAATAATGCCAGACTCAGGTCATTTGTTCCCATTTTGTTTGTTAAAGATATGAACACACACCTCCAGCTTTTCACTCCATGGTATGCCTTTGCTTTTGACTGTCCCACAAATGGCACTGGCACAGTTATGGACACTCAGCCATGTATTTTCTTTGCAAATTAAAGTAAATCCAGGAATGGAAAGAACAGAGTTAATGCTTAAGTTAATGCTTGAAATGTCCTTGGACACTATAGATATCAGATTAAGAATTATTGCTGCTCCCTGCCTAACTTTATATTTGGTCACAAAATACCTGTTCTTATTTCTTCTGTGTCCCCACATCTTGGAGAAATAGGAACAATTCACAAACCTGTCACTTCAGTTATTCTTTTTCTAATAAATAACTTAAAAATGAATTCAAGTAGCACTTTTAAAATCTGTGATCAGACCCCTTGTTTTAAGGAAATAGAAATAACTAAAAGCTTTAAAACTTACAAAGAAATTAGAATAATTGGCTCAGGTCAAAGTGTAATTTTCTTCATGAAAAAGAAAATATTAATATAATAGTTTTCCAGTGAGATATCAAAAATAGAGACCTTAATAAATAAAATACTAACCTGTCTATTGAAACAATGAAATAGCCTATGTCTGAATATTAACTACATTTAGTCATTTCTCTGATATCTTTCAAAATTATTGCTCCATAGAAAGTACTTAATGTTTTTTCCAAATGTACAAGTAATATCTTCTTATTGCATTAAAAATTAGAAAAATATTAAGAAAAATTTTAAAATTACCTATAATCCTGCCACCTTTGGATAGCTACAGTTAATTTTCTGAAATATATTTTGATTATATGTATAACATCATATTTGATACGTTTTTTATAGCCTGTTTTTTCAGTTGACAGAACATCATGGGTGATGTTTGCATATCAATAAACATAGATCCATATTGTCATTTTTTAAAATCACTGCATGGTGTTTCCTTATAAGTTTTGCTATTCTCATATATATTAGGTATTTTTTACTATAATAAATAATGCCATAGTAAACATATCTGTTGTTACGTATTTGCATACCTATCTGATTATTTCCTTAGGGGTTGCTGGGTCAGTGAGGCATGTACTTCTTTTTCCGAAGACTTTTAAATAAAATTGCAAAGTTCCTCTTTAGATAGATCATACCCAACTTATATTCCCTTTCCCTCAACCCTAATCTGTTCTTGAATCTGATGATTTAAAAAAATCATTACTTGGGTTTTCATTTCTTTGAATGCTTCTGAGGTTGAGGTGAACGTCTTTTCAAATGTTCCGTGTGAGTTGCCCGTTCATGTACTTTGCCTATTTTTCTGTTGGAGTGTTATCTTACTGATTTATAAATGCTTTTTATAGTCTTTGTAAAATACATTTACTGTTTATTGCACTTGGATTTTTTTCTTCTCTGTGCATTGAAGAATTATTATATGATTCTATAATTGTAATAAAATATAAGGTTTATAAAAAATTCTAGAGACTAAATGGTATTAAGACTCTGGGCTTTTGGTTGTAGACCCATCTCTTTGTCTATTGCCATTGGAAAGGTGAGCAGATATTTTTAGATGAGGCTAATTGTCTTAAGTAATAGAATACCACTTTCAGAAAGATAAAAATATTGAGACTTACTCTGTGTTTTTGTAATTTGTGTGATCTCTGACTCTTTTTCTAAGACTGAAACTAGTATTGCAGTAGCACCTTCAGAAGCAAATCGATAAGCGGGGACAATAAAATCCTGTGCGGACATTTTTCTGACTTGCTGCTGCCTTTGGACTCAGAAACTTGTCATTTTTAACATAGCCCGCTGTTTTTACTGTGATCTGTGTGCTCTCACCCCCATGCCTATCCACATGAGAAATGGGTTACCTAACCCTGGGCTGTATTTCCATTTCTTTTCAGAGTATCCATATACTAGAGAGGACTGCTTCCTCTGGCACTGAGCCCTCCATAAGTCGGCAACTGCTAGAACCGGAGCCAGTCTCCCTCTCCAAGGTCAGTGATGAGATGTGGTGCTTTCTCAGATGGCATGATACCTGCCCTGAGCCAGTTGAACTGTAAATGACTCTTACACTGACTCCTCTAAGGGAGCTGTGACACCCTGGTAAGGCTGCTCTTCCACTTCTTTATGCCTCCAGTATGTAGGGTTTCTCTGCCCTGAGTAAAGAGGAAAGATGAAAGTATATTTTGCTGAGATTTGCAGGGTTACATACAGAAGTCCAGCATTCTCTTTATTTTAAGGAGAAAGGTCAAGAGAAACTATTGTCATTTGCTGTTGGAGAAATGAGAAAATATTTCTATATCAAACTAGTAGGGAAAAAGAAAAACCGGATCTAGTAATAACAACAACGACACCTACTATTACCATTATTGCCCGTGCACTGCATACCAGGCACTGTGCTGATATGTTTCAACACATCGTCCCACTTCATATAACCCTTATGAACAGCTCCAGGCAGTGTGGGTATTTATTACATTTTTCAAATGTGGAAACTGAGAGTTTGTAACTTGCCCAAAGTAAAAAACAAACAAACAAACAAAAAACTACTAAGCAACAGAGCAGGGATTCAAACTTAGACCTTTTTAAGCTCTACCCGGCTGCAGGTAAAATCGTATCTACTCAGAGGGGCTCTTGTACATTCAGATTTCTGGTCTCCTTCTTACATCTAGCCTTCTGAGTGGTGAGCTCTGAGGAAAATACTGCAGATTATTGATTAAGATCTTTTTTGTCTCATGAAAGCCAGTATTCTCTCCCCTTCAGCCTTCTGTTCCTTCTAGTAGGGAAACATGTGAATTTACTTATGTCTAAAATGCAAAAATCATAAAGAAAAGTTGAGGAGACACCATCCTACTCATCCCCACCCCTAACCCGACTCCCTGGGATTTTCAGTGGGCTGGCTCCTCCATCAAGAAACTCAGAAAATAGAATGCCTGAGGGTTTTGAATTGAAATATAAAAATAGCACTTTGTTTCCAAAAAAATGTTAGCTTCTAAATATGTACAACTGATCCTTCCACCTTGCTGGCCCTTTATTAAACAGAATCTTTAAAGAACACTACTACCCTAGTGCTGTGAAATATATACACTGTACCCCTCTATACTTTGAATATATAAATAAGCTATAAACTTTATTCTACCGGACAGGAGTTCACTGCTAAACTAAGGAGAGGAGGGTTATTAAACCATAAAAAATAACTTGGAGGGAAATAAAAAATGATCTTATTTCTATTTGAATGCCAAATACGGAATGTCTACTTGGTAAATATAACTAGTTACCTCTTTGAAACATCAGTTCTCTCTTATAGACAGCTAAAGGCGAGAGAGAAAAGGCAGCTTACATTTATTGAGTACGACTTTGTACCATGCACTGAATTAGTGCATAGATTCTCTCACTTAATTAGCCCCCAACTCAATGAAGTAAGTACCGATATTATCCTCATTTTATTGATAAGGAAAACAGAGACTTGGAGTATAAGTAAGTTGTCCAGAGCTGGGAAGCATGAGAAAATTAGAGCCGAGGGAAACTGAGACCATGAGAGGGGGAGATACTCAGAGAAAGGAAGACCTGGAGAATGATACACAGAAACAGAAAGGAGAGGTGCTGGTATTAAAACCACAAATAGGGAGCAACGTGCACACAAGACTAGCTCTGGCCCCTCCTCTCCTGCCAGCTACCTCTCTAGCTTCCTTGGTATCTCACTTTATACTCCAGCTACCTTCCCCTGCACACGGCTCCCTGCAGTGGCCATGCTCCTCCTCTCTTCCACGGCTGGGTGTCTCCTCCTCCTATCAGGCCTTCCTAGAATGCTTCCTGCTCCCCTCCTCTTCCTTCACTCAGAAACCCCTTTTCGAATGCCGCCCATCACCTCCTTCCCCAATCCACTCTCAGCCCCAGACTGTCTTGTATATATTGTCTCTGTACTTAGCACGTTCATTACTTTATTTCACATTAGTTCTTATGTCCAGTTTCCTCGGAGGACAGCCTGAGACTGGGCTTGGGGTACTTGTGATTTATTGAGGGAGAGCCCACAGGAGAAAGGATGAGAGAAGAGATCAGGGCAGGTGTGGTACTAAGCCAGAAGGCATTTCATTTGGAGTCCACTGTCAGCCTGATCCCCGGTGAGCTCTGGAGCATAAATAATATCACAGAGTTGGTCTCACCCTGAGAAGAGGACTTCTTGTTCCCTCAGCCAGCCACTTGTACCCTTGTGTCCTTCAGTCCTTGAGGGCCATGGGGGAGGGAGATGCTGCAGCATAATTTCCCAGGTGTGATGCCTCAACTTGGTGAAAACAGCAATTCCCCCTTAGCCTTAGCAGTTCTCGGTGCTCACAGCAGTTGGAGCACGGGTCCACTGGCCTGATCCAGGACCTGGGGAGGGCACCAATAGCATCCACTTCCCATTACCCCTCCATGCTGTTGTCCCTTGGATCTTGTTGTAGAACTAATACTCTCATGGTGTTTTTGTGTTAATAGGTACCACATCTTTTGGGGCCCCATGAAATCAGAGGGTCTTGTCCAATCCAGATACCATAGTATCCCACCATCTCGCAGCCCTTTTGAGAGAAGATGGGCTTCCCGGCACCAGTTGGTGGTGAAAGAACGTTATTTCAAGTACACATTTTCCTGCCTCAGGATTTGTTCAAATTCTTTGGTATTTTCACCTCCTAAAGCATTTTCACTCTTCCCCCACACACCCACCCACACATCCACAAACACAGAGTATGCCATTGAGAAAGGAAATGTCTCTATTTATTTCAAATGAACAGACTAGGATGTTATTAGGTTACTTTCTGTTTAGTTATTGTTATTAGATCAAAAGTATTTTTAAAACTTCTATAATAGCAAAAATGTACATCTGACTTGTCAGGTACAGATGATCAAGATCAAATTAGGACTTTTAGCTATTTCTATTCTAAGTGAATCTATGAAAACTGGAGACTTTTAAGCAGAAAATTAATATCACTTGAAATTATGAAAAAATTCTTCAATTTTCAGAAAGTAATTTTAGCTTTCTTAAGATTTACCTGGTCTACTAAGCTCAGAGATGAGTTGCACTAAGTTCCGAGATGGGATGTTTCATATTTGTAATATTATCATCAGCATTTATAATTGACATAGGGAGAATGTTTTCTCTAGCTTTATCTTTTGCCTCGTTGTCAGTTTGACAGCTTATTTAACTATAAGAACTATACTAGGATTCTTCTCAGTTTCTTTTGCTGGGTTTAGTAATTCTGCATCACAGCAAATGAAATTATTTGTTTAGAGCTGCCCCCTTTATAATTATGAAATACTAAGAAATATATTTTAATTCTTCACCTTTTCAATTTTATCCCTTTTTATTTCCTCTTCAGTTAAACTCCCAAAGGGAACAAAAATGACCATGACAGATATCAGCCATAGCTCCACAGGGACAAGCTGTTATTCTATTCTGAGTTTAATTAGAAAAAAATTCAAAACACATTTGTACTTCTTAAATGTTTCATTTTCACAAGTAATTCACAGTATTCATTACACACACACACACACACACACACATACACACACACACACAGAGGGAGAGTAAATCAAAGATGAACACTAGCTTTCAAATAAGATCTAATCAAAGAGAAAAAAAGCTGTTCTTTTAGAGATGCTGCACATAGATGGGGCTACCAAAAATAGAAGTGTCATTAAGTACAGCTGATATCTCTCTAAGAACAGAGTGCTAATGAATATATTTACACATGTATAGTTAGCCTTTTAGTTTCTTGATTATACAAAACTTTTAAAAAGAAATCAGTAGAAGGCCATCATTTCTATGGAATAAAAAATCCATCATTTTTATCTACTTTTTTAGTGAGAATAGAAAGCCAAAGATACTGGACTTTGTATAAAAATTTACTTTTTTCCCCTATTATTCTAACATTATTTATAAGTGGTGTTCGCTGGTTGAATTGCAATTCAATATTAAGAAATGAGAATGCTAAAGCACTCCCCTTTATACTCAGAATGATAATGCCACTTGCACTTGTATTGTCCCCCAAAACATGGTATTCAGCCTGAAATTGTTTCTTCAGAAACATTTTTTTAAAAATCACTCTATTTAATTACCAGCTTTGACCAGATCAATCACAGTTTTCAACAGAATTATCTTCAAGCAGAAAATCACTTGAGGTTTTTTTCTTAATGTAAAGGGAAATTTACAGATCCTTTTTCTTTAAAAAAAAAAAACAAAACAGTTTTGGTAATGTATTATTTGACAGATCCTTTAAAGCATTCTTAATGTTGCCAAATTAAACTGGTCTGTGTGTTTCTGTAAGGTATATAGTTCACTCACTAGGCACCCCTCGGAGATGACCGGGAAGATGAAGAAATGATACTAGTCTCAGGGTGGGAGTGGGAGTGGGTTGTAGGGCTATAGGATAGAAGCCTGATGCTGGCTTTAGAGGGCTTTTCAGAAGCCCGGGTTATCTCCTAGCTTTCATGATGTTAGAGTGAAATAGTGTTCTGCCTCATCTCTCGGAAACAACTTTCTGTGAAAATATCACCCCATTTATACATATTTGGATTTAAACATGTATTTGGCTTGGCCATAGGGCAAGCACCTTTTGGAATGAAAGGAGAAGAAAAGGAAAAGTGGCATGGATGATACATACTCAGCCCTCTTTCTGCCCCCATGGTCAACATCTGTTACTGATTATGGCACCTTTGCCTCTGAGGCTTGTCAGAGGCTCACAGTCCTGCAGCAGGTTCTAAGCAACCACCACCCAAACATTTGGGCCAGCGAGTCCATCTGCTCTGGACTGGAACCCAGTGGCCATCGTTGTTGAAGCCTTTGTTCTGTGATCGAAGGATGATTTCTGATAGAACATATCTTTTTGGAGGCACCCTCCTAAGTCATTTTGGATTGGGGCATTCTGCGGAGGTGCCTGCCATCATAACTGGAGCTACATCCAGCTTTGCAAAGTTGAGGCAGCAGAGCGGGTCACATTAAGAGATCTCGCTCCCCTGTGCTGTGGGTAGGTTTGTAGCAGTTGTGCCTGGGATGTGACCTCGTTGTTCCTGCCTCTAAATTGGACCACATTCTTGAGATCTAGAATGTGAGTATTTGCTGGGTCAACAGTTATTTTAGAGCCACATTGGCCCTTAGAAATCACCTGGTCTAGAGATTTTAAAACCCAGGATGTTGCTAAGGGCCAGGCAGCTACCCTGGAAGCAGGCCCAAGGGAGTAACTGAAGACAGGTCCTGCCTTCCACACAGGCCCAGTGTTGCCAGATGTTATAGGCCTTCACAAAACTAGGAATTTGAATTTTTTAAGTGTGAGATCTTATGATTTTTAAATATTGACAACTCATTAAAAGATGTAATCACCATAGATGAACGAAACATATCTTATGGAAGAGGAAACCATGATATAAGTCTGTTTTTTAACAAAGGAGGATGATAGTAAGGATTCTAGCATCCTAGATATCTGGCCTTTGCAATCTGGTACTTTTTCCATGGGCTCTTAAGGATGTCTTCCTCAGGAAGTGTGTGTTTTAGAAAGCATGGGCTTCCTGGTGTGTGTTTGCTGAGCAGGGCGTTTTATGTGCATTCTGTAATGTACGCGGCCTCACCGAGAAGAAACAGATGCCCACAGTGCTGCTCTTCAGCTTAATAGGTTATGAGCCATTTAGACCATTGCAGCCTTTCCATTCCTACACAGAAAGCCAGGTCCACACACTAATTGAACACTTGTCATCAAAACAGTTTTATTTCAAAACTTTAAAGTGCCTCTATGCCTAGAGATTAACTGTCTAGAAAAAAAAAATGCATTTTAAAGCTTCTGAGTACAGGCAGTCGAAATTCTGTTCTACCCCAACCTCCAACTCCATTTCGTCTGCGACGGACGCACGGACATCCAGGTTGGCCTGGAAGCTCGTTTTAACTCCAGTTATAAGTGCTTAGCTTGATCTGATGCTTAAAATTTGCTGCAGAATGTTGTTCATACTTCTGGTGGATTGAGTGGTGCTTCAAAAGTAACTTCTACTTAATCTGTTTTAAGTGCGTCACCAAGCGCCAACAAACATGTGATTTGTTTTTCTTCTTTCCTCTCAGGAAGCTGACAGCTGGGAAATTATAGAAGGGCTGAAAATAGGCCAAACCAATGTCCAGAGACCAGACAAACATGAAGGCTTTATGCTGAAGAAAAGAAAATGGCCTTTAAAAGGCTGGCACAAGGTAACATTTTCACCATGTTCATCTTTAGATCATCTTTGTAAATAGAGTGTGGATCTTCTTTGTGTCATTAGGTGGGAAACCAAGAGTATGGCTGTATGTGTAAAAGTAATTTTCTGGGCCTTATTTTAACCATATGGGCAGCAACCTGTTATACCTATTTATATCTGAGATCTATAATATCTCTATGCAGGGGAAAATATTTTATTTTTATATTTAAATTCCAGTTTTTACATGTTGTCCACTCTGCTTTTTTTTAACTTGAATATGTTTCCTATTAAATGTTCTAAATATGAGATGTTTTTAAATGCATGCATGTATTCCATTGGATGGATTTATATTATATATCCCACTATTAAACCAATTCTCTATTGCTGTATATGCAGGACATGTCTTCATTTTTTACTTTCATGACAAATATCATTATACATAAATTTCCATTTAATTCCTTGGGATAAATCCCTAGAGTTATTGTTACCAGTACAGACTCAAGACAGAGATTCACAGATCTTGGAAGTTTGTTTACTGCCCTTTACAGCATACAGTTCCTCTCTCCCCTACCCTACTTTTGTTTTCCATCTTCCACTTTTACTTATGGAGGAACTATTTTGCACTACATAGTTGCAATGACCTAAGTGGGAAGAATTCTGTGATGCTAAGGAGGAGGAAGTTGTCCTTCATTTTCAGTCTCAGCCCTTTGACTGACCACCAGCTACTTCTCTTAAACCACTGGAAGAATAGATTCATCTACTTTCCACGTCTGCTAATGGATTTCATCTCAGGGCAGATGGACTTGTTGGCCCAAGTGGTTGGGTGGTGGCTGCCCATTGGCCCAAAGCAGGGATGTCGTGGATTTTAACATCCTTGAGTAAACATATTTTTTTATGTAATTTAAGGGAAAAAACTTAAAAATGAATGGATCAGAATGTTCCCCACTCTCCTGTCTCTGATGGTAAAATAAAAACATGTCAAAGAGGCTTCTGAAAACTATTCCTTCTCACCTGTGAGAAACCTTGACATTCTCCCCACAACTCCTGATATTACCTCAGTGCCAGGCATCTCTCTCCACCGTTGTTCTTCCTTGGATTTTGGCCAACCAGCTGTACTCCTTCCTAGAATCTTTTACTTTTCATTCTGACCTTACCACTTTGCAATTTCTCTAATCAATGGCCTTGCTAATCTCTTTACCTGTGAACATCCTAAAAGTTGTCCCTGCTAAAATCCTTTGATAGCTAAAAATGGAAAAATAGGAGAAAAAAGTCAAAGAAACAAATTTGATTTGAATAGCTAACTTTAATTTAGCACTCTTAATCCATGTTTCAGCAAAACTGTGGTTCAACAGCAACTCTTTCTGGACCATGCTTTTGAACATTTTGCCACATAAATTGGAGGGTCTTCTTTGCATTGCCTTTTACCCTGGTCTCTAATGCCATCAGATATTTATTCAAGCATTAGCTTATTTGAATGCCCAAGTTATGGACAATTGAGTAATCAATTGTTTTTCAGCTGTACAGAGTCTATCTTTTGGTGCTTACTTGTTGCCCCCCAGAACCTGTAACACAAAGGGGTTACAGTTCCCTTCTGTGTGTTCTGTGCAGGGTGTTCCCAGTCCTGACCGCCTGCTGCCTCAGCAGCTAAGAGTTCCTGAATCACATAAAAACTTGCCTGCAGAGTAATTTTCCAGTAACAGAAAGACTCCCTGCCTCTGTAGATACTGGAGGAGGGCACTGGAACCATTGTTTGATTAGACCCTGGGAGCTGTTTGTTCTTTTGTCAATTGCCCACAGAAAGGAAATCAACAGCAGAGAGTTCCTGAGTGCTTGTGGAGCAAAAATGGCTAGATTCATTTGTACTGGACCTGGGGTGTCTTCGAGGAGACAAAAATTGTCCAAAATATGTCTCTCTCTCTCCCCCTTATTTTAATACTTATTGTAGTTCAGCAATAATTTTTAAATCTCTTTTAATAATAGTGAAATCCAAGTATTTTGCTAAGTTAAGATGGAAACATTGCTAAAGCGACTTCTTAAAATTTCCAAATTATTCCTTATATTCATGGATCCAATCTACTGACTTCTGTAACAGACATGAGCATTTTCAGGAATTATCTATGGTATCCAGAGAAATACAAGAGTTTACCTGGAGGGTGAAAAATTCTCAAGCTCCTCACAAAACCGCTGTGACCTAACTCAAATTATTCTCATTTCTCATTTTCAAAAATATCCCAATATGGTTCCTTCAGAAAGTCTTAGCTGCAGGCTCTGAAATTTATTCCCTGTCCCAACTCTCACATCCATTTAGAAAAACCATGGTGAAAAGATTTCTTCTCCATTAAATTTTGTGTAAAAGAACCCTAGTAAGTTAACAGTACAGAGCTCAAGCTCTAATTTCCTTACCACTTAATGTGTCTGACTGTAGCCAGGTGAACTGAATCTAGATACATTAAAATGATCAAACGTATTGATTACTAAATGCCAAGCAACATTAACCCACACTTGTGAATGTTTTATATAATTCAAAATACAGACAGTTAACTGGGGGTTGTTTGGTTCTTGCAGCGTTTTTTTGTCCTGGATAATGGAATGTTAAAGTATTCAAAGGCACCACTCGATGTAAGTAGCACATGAGATAAGTTTCAAAGATTGATTTAGAATTCTGTTTGTAGTGAGTAAACACAGTTGTGCAAGCCTTGTACTGTAGTTACCAGTTTTGTGCATTTCTGTGTGTGTAAGATTTAACAAGCTACCAAGCTTTCATGTTGCATGGAAGGTGTGTTTTACGTTAAGGCTCGAGGTAGTGTAAAATCTCAAACTGGTGCATGAAGATTTAACTATTGTGATGTCTATTGTTCAAAACAAGCATAAAGTGACATATTAATAAAAATCACCCTTTCTGTCTTGGATAGAAAACCCAAATAGCCTTTTTTTCCTGCGTCTTAATAAACTGCTTTATGTGCTTTTTTTTGAGATTTAAAGCAACTTTGTGTCTTGTCAATGTCCTTTTAATACCTATCTTATGAACTTCATTTCTATTTCGTATCAGACATCTTTGTATCTTGGGAACCCCAACTCACTAAAATTATTCTAAAGTATTTTTCTTAAATATAAACAGTAGTTTGCATGAAAAACTGGAAAATGCCCTCCTTCTTATCATTGTGGTGTAGGGGAAATAAAAGAGGGCTCAGATTTCGGTTTTGTTCCCATCTCTTCCGTTGAATCGGCTTTGTGTCCTTGATCAGATGAGGGCAGGCAGAAGGAAGAGCTGGCTACTCTGTGCTCTCTGGTCCCAGCTGCCCAGTTCTGCCCCAGCAGCCGTCTTTTAGCTGATTGCTTGGGGATATTCTGGGTTATAGGTCAGAGATTGACCACAGTTATTTTAGGAACCACTAAAGATATATTTTGGGCGATATAAGTTATACGATCTAGAATTATGAAGAAGTTATATGTAATGACAGAAACAGGAATATGAGATGAATAGTCTTACTTATTGGAATTAGTGTGAAGTCATGGCAACTTCAGTTGTCCTCAGGTTAAGGATGTTAACCTCCAAACCTTAACCATTTTCCCTTTGTAAAGGAGGTGTGGTATTCCATTTCCCATAGATAAGTTAAAGATTACATTAAGCTCACTTCAGTACAGAAATGCATTAAATCATATATCCTTCCAGCCTATTTACCAGTCTTTTGATTTCAGATTCAAAAAGGAAAAGTACACGGGAGCATCGATGTTGGACTCTCGGTCATGTCAATTAAAAAGAAAGCTCGGAGAATAGACCTTGACACAGAAGAGCACATCTATCATTTGAAGGTAAAGTTACTTTTCAACAGCTTCTCTGCCATTATCAGGGGAAACCACTTGCCTATATCAGTGGTAAACAGGAGATTGTTTCACTGTTCTTCTCTTTTTGCTCATTGTTTTAGGTGAAATCCCAGGACTGGTTTGATGCGTGGGTCTCCAAGCTGCGCCATCATCGATTGTATCGGCAGAATGAAATTGTGAGGTCACCAAGAGATGCTAGCTTTCACATATTTCCTTCAACCTCCACAGCTGAATCCTCACCAGCTGCTAATGTTTCTGTTGTGGATGGAAAGGTATGACTCTGTTATACAAAAATCAGCCCAGAAATTGCTTGGAAAATTATGCAGACACATAACTGAGTCTCATTTGACAAACCAGAAAGAGGTTTGCTCTGTAAACTAGCCCTCAGAAGACAGTGGTGACATTTGGCATCAAAGTTAATCACAAGTATAGATTAGGTGGAAACATGGACCACCAAGAGAATTGACAGTTACTTTTCCTTTCTATGAATGAACCACATCCTAATTTTATATGGCTTTATAGGAATATTAGGAAGGAGAGTGAGCATTTGATTAATTAGCACGCAGAAATCAATGTCTTCCTGGGTGGTAATAAGAAGACCACGGAGGTTTGAAAATGAAACTTGCTTTTTTGCCTTGAGCTGTACTATGTGTATGACCCAGAGAGAGACCAGTGAATAGCCACATGAAGTTAATGCAAGTTGGCTAGAGAATGTGACCATGAGTAGTAGCCCATTTGAGTGACTAGGCAGTATGTTAAGCATTTGACATTCATTCATCTCTAATCTTTAATATAGCCAAAGCTCAGAGACAGTAAAGAATTTTTTCAGAAGTTGCATAGCCATTAAACAGCTGAACCAGGATCTGAGTCCTCATCTCTCTGTTTCTAAAATCAATGCCCTTTCCATTTTACCAGGTACCAGATTAAAGGAGGCTGAAGTTATTCTTTGGACTGTATGAAAAGAGTTCATTTTCTATGTTTTTGAAAAGCTCTAAGTGTGGCCTATTAAAAATCAAGGTTAAGACCATAGGCAGGGAGACAGCTGTTTCTGCCTCTGATTCAGTAATTAAGTTTTCTGAACCATAGCCATGTTGCCCTGCCCAGGGGTGTTCCAGCTTCCCGCTCGGCACCTGTATTGAGAACAGCGACATCTGTGAGTAAATGGCTGCCACAAGGAGTTGGATTCAAGAACCTTTCAGTGAAGATTCTGCTTTTCTTTGTTTTCTTATATAAAGATACGTGTAATACATATATCCAAGTTTTCTTTGCAAAGCATTGAAAAACCTTGTAGAGTAACCGCAAGATTAATCAAATCAGATTAAATGAAATACTACTGTATTCAGTTTTTGCTATTTTGATGGAAATTACTCAAGTAATTTTTGTTAAGTCCCATTAGTTGTATTTCATAAGGCTCTCAAAACTTTCTGGTTGTGGTCTTGCCCAGAACTGTTTAATCATCTTTCTCCTAGGAAAAGGATGTTGGGTTAACCCTAATACTAACCAGTTCTGAAATGAAAAGAAACAAACGAGGAGGTCAGGGGATTAGGAAAATAGGGCACTTACTGAATGACCCAACACAGGATGTTCAAGATGGTCCCCAAAGTTCTCTGGGTGTCCTGTGTCCTATGAATCCCAAAGTTAGTCCAAATTAAATAAGAAAGGTATCCCAGGTGGATATTTTAAAAATATAAATATTTAATCCCTTGGTCCTTCCTGCTTCTGCCTGCATCTTTGGCATAGAGTGTTGATAAAAGATGTGTTATTTTCATCCCTTTTTTTATTTATTAAGTAACTTGGGTGATATCCAAGAATGAAGAGCTGAAACCAAACCCTCCTTACTGTTTGCCTTGGAATAAGAAAGCTCTTCAACTCTGGTTTCTATAGAAGATCTATTGCTTTAGTTATGAATAACATGCTTCTAAGATAGAACTCGGTGAAAAATTCCCATTGCATTTATCAAAATGCAGTAAAGTTTGAGAAGAACTTTTTGTTACTTTGCTTGCATTCTGAGTATCAAACTATGAGATTCCTGAATGTTAATTGGTTTTTGACCCTGTGTGGGCAATAAATAAATCTGGGTTTGCTAAGTATGCAAATCATTCACTTTATAATGATTTAGAAGAGACGCAGCCAGTTATAATTGAATATTAAAGTCAAATATGGAGTTTTAAAGTCGTTTCAACTTTGAGGAAAATAAGTTTCTGCTTTTTTCACTGAGCGTTTACTGTACTCTAGTATCTACGTACTTCATACAACTTTAATTTATTTCACATAAAGTGCCTTTAAATGGAAAGCCTATCAGCTATAGATAATAATAACTTGCCAAGACTGCCTTTTTTACATTATAATTTTCAGCGTGCAAAGCATTGTAAGGTCCCTTGCTGGTAGACAGTGTGCAGTATTTAGGAATCACACGTGACTGACCTTGAGCTGATCATAGGGTGCAGAGACCTTGTGGAGAGGAAAGGCTTTCAATCATGAGTTGAGTCTTCAATAAAACACTCTATCAAATACAACTTACTGAGTAATTTAAAATTATTGGGAATTTGAGTTGGCAGGTCCTTGCGAGTATGCGATATACTTGAGTGTGGTCTTCTTCATTTATGATGGAGATAGCAACTTAATGAGGGTGTGGTTAATGTTTATGACTTTTGACTTCACTGAGCACATACTATGTTGAACCAAGAGGCTTCTCCACTTTGTGAGTGTGTTGGTTCTTTTTTTCTTAATGTCACGTTGAGAGTACTTGTATTTTTAAAAATCACTTAAATGTACTGTTTCTGCTTAACCATACACTTCATTTCTTTTCATTCATTGTAGGTACAACCAAACAGCTGTCCATGGCAGTCCCCTTTACCATGCAGCAACAGCCTCCCTGCAACTTGCACGACTGGCCAGAGCAAAGTGGCAGCCTGGTTACAGGACTCAGAAGAAATGGACAGGTGTGCAGAAGGTTAGTTCTTGCCCACTGTGGGCTATCAGAATAAACCAAGAAACAAACAAAAGAGGTGAATTGTGGGTGTTTCACCTTTTACCCCCAATCCCCCCAATAGCCTCGATTTTTCTTTTTGCTTATTTTTATACACTAGTTCCTTCTCCCTCTCAGGACTCGCGCTTCTCTCCTGTCAGTTCTCCACACTCACAATTACTGAATCTAGTTTCAGCCTTATCCAGACTTTCACCCTCCTCAGCCTTCTCACCTCATCCCATTACCGGTTCCCTCTGGCTTCGTTAGCCTCCCACTCCCTAGACCCTGGGGACAACCAGATAAAGGAGCACTGCCTTAGGGGCAGCCCCCATCCTCAGTCCTTGACTCTCTGCTAGGTCACTTCCACAGCTGCCTTCTCTGCTGCTCCATTCACCTCACCTGTGTATTACATTGCTTGCAATAAATGGCACAATTATATGGTGTCTTACATCCATAATTACCTGTTAGTGGTGTTCCTCTATGGATCGATTATTAAATATTCTAAACCAATACATGATTCCCTCATTCTGCCATCTCTGAGCCTCTTAGTCTCCAGGAATTTTCTCTGTCCTGTAATTAGCCTGAGTAAGTTGGTCCATTGGAAATGGATCCACAGACCATTTCCATTCTGTGAGACAGTTTTCATTTGACCTTCAAAAATGAGAAAAACAAAGATAACATGGAAAGTATATAATAAAGCTAAATTGATTTAATTTTAAGATTATTTTTAGATAATGTTGGGCCTAACTTTTTATGATATTAAATGTTTTTCTTTTATGACATTATGATAAAAATAGAAGTTTGGTTATTTTTTTTATGTCCTCACCTAGAAAAATTGAAATTTGGCAATCTGTGTTGGTCCCCCGACCAAAAAAATAAAAAACTGTGTTTTTTTTTTGCTCTACACATGTATGAACTCAAAGTCTGCTGTATTTTTATTAACCTTCTACATACCCCAAACCAAATATTTATGTGAAAATGTGATTTTAAGAGGGATCTTATATTCATAAAACATGTCTAACTAATATTCCATTAAAAAGGTTTCTACTTGGATATATTCACAAAACACACAATTACTTTGACTCAGTTAACGTCAGTTCGAGGAAAGAAGCTTAATCTCACCTTCCTAGAACTCCTCAGGTTTGCCCCAAGCTACAGTTCTAGACATTTTAGCTTTTCCTCTTAATTTTTGCAGCCTTACACATGCTTCTGACATTTAACCTGGCTATCTACATTGCTGAAAACATTGAGACTATCCACTGGGACAAAATCCATTTATCTGACCAAAATGCACAGACATTGACCTTGATGCCAAGAAGCCTCTGATTGATGGGGGAATGCACTTGTCTCCCTGTGTGCTGCTTCACAGCACTGTGGTTTGTCCCTTGTGCACTCTCTCCAGGCTCGGGGATGATCCTCCTCCTCTCCATCCTTACCGCTCCACCTATATCCTCTGTCCTGTGACTGTTCTCCTTCAGGATTTAGGGCAATAATTACTACCTCCTCTTTTGGAAACAACTTCAGTCTTTCCCTCTTCACTCATACCTGTTCTCTGCCCATAGACTCTGTGTTCTTTCGCCTACTTTGTTTTTTGCCTTTTTTGCTCTATGGAAAAAGCATTCTTGGTAGCAGGAGGCCATCTGATTTCTGCTGCATTCCCAGGCCTCATCCTCTGACCTGCCCTGCAAGCCCTTCTCTAGTGAGCCACCTCCCTTCGGCCTCATCAAGTTTTCCTTTTTCTCCAGCTGCTCCTCCTCTGCTTCACTGAGATTCTCCTCTGGCCATCCTTAGTTGTGGGGATGATCAAGATTCAGTCGTCTGCTTTCTGCTTCAATAAGAGTAACTACATTTTATTAAGTACTCATTATGGGCCAGGCATCGAGCTAAGCACTTTATATACATCGTTTTCTGTAAATCTTCACAAAGGTACCAAGCAGGGATTATGAACCATATTTTTATAGATAAGGAAACCAAAGCTCAGGGAGGTCAAGTAACTGGTCCATGTTACACATCAAGTACTTAAAAGAGCTGGAGGGCTAACCCAGGCCAACTTGATTCTAATGACTGTGCTCTGTGCTTTGGAGATGACAGGCATGCTCATAATTTCAATTGAAATCTCTGTTTTAATGATGGTAGGAGTGACGGTGGTGCTGATGGTGATGCCACTACTGTTGCTGATGGTGATGGTGGTGGTAGTGGCGGCAGCTGATAGGTATTGGGTGTTTCCTATGTGACAGGCATGATTCTAGGTGTCTTATATGTGTTAACTTATTTAATCCTCTTAACCTCAATATACCAATGAGAAACAGGTACAGAGGAATTACTTCACTGTTCACACCAAGTTCACATAGCTAGGAAAAGTGGACCTGGGATTCAAACTCAGGTGGGGTCTGACTCCAGAGTGTCTGCCCTTAATCTAATCACTGCACCATATTCTCCTCAAAAAGACTAAAAAATCTTCAAATCTCAGATCTGTGTATCTACCCTGTGCTACATTCCCACCACCTCACCTTGTTATTGGTCCTTTCTGTCTATATGCTCTACCTTGCCCTTTCTTGGCCTGTCTGAAACCAAACTCTTTGTCTCTGCCCCAAAAATGGTCCTAGCTCCTGGACTTTCTTATTTCTGTCAGCGCCACTGTCAGATCCACCCCTGAAACCATAGTGTCCTCTTTTTTTTTAAATTTATTTATTTAAATTAGTTTCAAGTATATGGTACATTGGTTAGACATCTATATAGTTCATAAAACAATTCCCCCAATTGCTCCCACCCTTGACCCTCCCACTCTGTTCATTCAGCTGAGATTGAGTTCTGTTATTTCTTTGAAAACATTCCCCTTACTCTGTTCATTCAGCTAAGATTGAGTTCTGTTATTTCTTTGAAAACATTCCCCCTTCTCACCTCCCCTTCATCTACCCTGCCTCGGGTTTTTTCTTTCCTAACTCAGGCCCACGGTTACTCAGTCTCTAGGCAGTCACATGGCCTCCTGACTTGTACTCCTGCCCTTGGTCCCTTGCTCTGCTTTCCTAACTCAGGCCCACGGTTACTCAGTCTCTGGGCAGTCGCTTCCTGACTTGTACTCCTGCCCTTGGTCCCTTGCTCTGCCACTCCATCTCTCTCAAAGGCTCATGGGAAATTACCATTCTCGAACGTGTTTGCAACACTTAGGAGGCAGTACTCCATTTGCACTCAGCCACAAGATATGGGTATTGCTACCATACCCACTTTGCAGATGAGGAAAGAGAAATGCGTGGAGGTTAAGGAATTTGCCCAAGATTACGCAGCTGCCCTGGTGAAGAGGTTGGGACTCCAGCCAACCCATGTTCGACTAACCCCAAAGCCACTTCTTTGTCTACTACATAATGTTTCTTCAAGACTGATATTCCTTAAAATAGCTTTTATGCAAAAATCTCTTCACGTGGTTCTCCATGGGCCCTGGAGATTTAGTCCAAATTACTCAGCCCAGCATTTACTATTCAGCTTTCAGCTTTCTGACCCCACCTACCCTTTCAACCCTGCCTCCGAACTAAACTTATTTGCTGTCTCCTGAACATGTTTGTGTATTCCCGCATCTCTGCCTTTACACAAGTTGTTCTTCCCAACCTGTAGTGCCCTCTCTGCCCTTCTCCACCTTTGTATTTTGTTGTTGAATTCTTTCCATCAATCCTCCAGATCCAGACAAAACTCCACTTTCTCTTTTAAGTCTGCTCTGGTGACCTGAAGCCACATTTCTAAACTACAACAGCACTTTTTCTTGGACTATCCTGATCATTTCATAGAGATTTCCTGATACTGAGTCAAGGTTGGTTGCATTTTAGAAGTTCATCATGTAAGAGCTTTTTGAACTTACGACGTTTCAGATTTATAGTTCTAATACTTGAAGTGGCTAGTTATTCATGGATCTGGACTTATATCAATCCAGACCTTCTCAAGTATAAAAAGAAATTACTTGGCTCTTGGAAAGCATTTTTTCCCATAGAAACAAAATGTTAAATTAGTATTCTATTTTCCATCTTTATATACCAGTATATGCCATCATTAAAGATGGGCACATGATAGTTAACATACATATTATTTACTGTGTTCTATTTTCTAACCAGAATGTAAATTCTGTGCATCTTACTTGATTGCTATATTCCTTGAGCTTAGAACTATGCTGGGTACACAGTCTCTTCCTAATCAGTGGTACCTAAATGAAATAATAAATGAATAACTTTGGATATTCCTTAATTTATTTAACCATTCCACAGTTTTATGACATTTCTTTTTGGAACAATATAGGGCATGATGAGAAAATAAGTAAACTGCTAAAGATTTAAGTCTTTAATTTTTCAGTGTTATAAACAATCTCAGTAGCCTTTTCTTGGTATAATTTTTCCTTTTTCCCAGATTCTAAAATTGGATTTGATCTTAATGAAATTCTAGAGATTTCCTTTTTTAAAGATATTTTTATTATCTTGGGAAAATCTTTATAACTCTTGTATATGGCCAGGCACTTAGGCAAGCATGAAATTCTGTTAAGGATTTCATTTCTTCCATATTTTAAATGATACAAGTGGAGAAGAATGATGCAGCTTATTCCAAGTTAAGATTCTAGCAGTTCGATTAAATTTGGTGTGATCGAGACTCCTTAAAGATCATTTCTGGTTTTTGTAGAATTTTCTCATCTACCATCTCGGTTGCTACTCTAAGTCAGGAAAGTATGAGAAGTAAATATTACTATCACCGAAAAATGTAAAGTAAATCCATGTCTCCTGAATCAACAGACTTGTGACTCCCAAAGTTTTGGGTTCTTTGCCTTGAATTGAGTTCATTCACAAAGTTCTCTTTCTATGCTATGAGAAAGGATTTTAAGTCCATTTCTAGATTTCTGTGCTGCCTACATACACCATTTATATAGAATAATCACAATTATTAAGAAGTACAAATGTAATATTTACTAGATAGAAGTCTCAGTGGATAGGTGATGTCACACAATGTCCCCACCAGCATGATGATTATGATGTAACTTTGTTATTTAAAAGACAAGTTAAAATATTGGTTCCTTCTTGCCATCTTCTTTCTCCTCTTCCCTCTAACCTCTTTCTTCCTTTTTTGCACTAATTTTCTCCCTCATTTTTTCTCTTTCGTCTTCTGTGTTTTCTACCCTTCCAAGCTACTTTACCTTCTTTTCTCCATAGAGAAGGAGATGGGGCATACGAGGGTGCTGCCTCTCCTGAAAGCGGGGAGGTGGGGGACAGTGGGAGAGCCCTGGCCTGGCCAGTACTCTTTTCCTCCTACCTCCGTTTGGGTGATTCCCTCTCTGAAGGAATTTAAAGGCCGTTAATGTCCAGGAGTTCCTGGGAAGAACAACAGCAGCACTTGAACAGCCCACCTGGGCTCCATCCTGAGGCAGATGCAGCTAAAAGGATGGACTATGGCCTGGCCTCCAGATAAATTGCTCCCTAGAAAGTGTGAAGAGATTCTCAGTCCTGTATAAAGATTTTCATAGTAGTTACCTCTTTATTTTATTTTATACCCACCAAAAAAATCCACCAGAACTATCAGAAATCCCCAACTACCTATGTTATTCGACCCAGTTAATCTTTAGCCATATTTAATAATGATATTTTGCTGCCTATACTATATTTGTAACAATTCAGATCTTTGAGATTTAATGAGAAACACAGATAACATCAGTGAAATTTTCACCAACTGCCACAAAAATAAGAATTATCCCTTTATAATTATACAGATGTATATACATGCCCTGTTGCAGTCTCTTCATAAACAGGACATGTACAAAAGTCATCACATAACTGGGAGCCATGTTCGAAATATTTACTAATTGAATAAATATTACTAATAACTCAGTATTCTTGACTGTGTTTAATTTCACATACTAAAGGTCAGTTTTTTGTGATATTTGATCATGCAGACCTTTAAAATTCTCTCATTCAAATACACCAAAAAAAAAAAGAAAAAAAATTATGTCATTTCTTCATTCTAAGTAATTCAAACAGAATGAGTATCATGCCTAGGTGATGCTGATCCTGCTGGACCAGAGAATCTTTGGTTTTGTTTAGTGTGACATCTCTAATAGATTTTAAAGAACTCATGCATTGCCACATTGTTAGTGAGCTAAGTTATAGATAAACATGCCCATTGACTTTGTATTCCATCTTATTTTTCTGAACTTGACTTCGACTCCACCCGAAATCCAAGCAGCCACCTTATAAACTGTTGTAGGGGCCGGTAGACAGGTTCTTAACAAGAAAACAATACAACTGCTGAAGTTCCCTTGAGTATGTTTTTTATGTGACAACGAAAGTGAGCACACACAATTTGAATGGCTCTCTACACTAAAAGCTATTAATTTGTAAGAGTGGACTTCGAAGTCATCTAATAATAATTAGTGGTTTTATGGTTCTTTCATTTGCCAATATTATCATGGATATGCAATATTATCATGGATATGGTTTTATGGTTCTTTCATTTGCCAATATTATATGGATACGCTTAATCATATTTGCCATAATTTAGATTGACTCCCTTTTATTACCACCACCACCAGTCCCTGCCCAGTTCTAACATTCTAATTTCTGATTTTTATTAGACCTTGCGCACTGCCAGTCAAACCTTGTGGAACTTAGCAAACTCTTGCAAAATTTGGAAATACTTCAGAGAACTCAGTCAGCACCTAACTTTACTGACATGCAGGTAAACATATTACTGCTGCTGTTGGTTAAAGAAACTTAATATATTAAATCAGAATTTTTACTGAATTGTTCTGTGAATATATAAGGTAATAGGAAATAACAATAATATAGGTTAGTTTATATTCTGCAGTTATTCTTAATATTCTTAATATTTTTAAATCTTGTCTTTGTGTTAAGATGTCTATTTTGAAATGTTGTACATTTAAATACAAACAAACTAAAAGAAATAAAAATCTGAATCATTCTGTGTTTGTTTACATTAGAAATGGTAGCTCTGAAGATATAACTTCGATACTCTCAGAATTATTACCATCTTTTCATGGGGGAAAAATATCAAAAATGTCTAATCTTATGTTCATTTTGTATAGCAGAAAAATACATTTTATGATTAAGTTCTTGTCTCTGTTTTTAATGCCCAGTATGCATCAGATATACCTTTCTCTCCTGGCTGGTTTGTGTTGGGTGTCTAACAAGTCTTCACTAACTGGTAGAACTCTCTTTGTCTATGTCTTTATCATCTGTATGAACTTAATAATACTTTGTTGCTTTTAACTATTTGTGTAACATAGGCTAACTGTGTAGATATTTCAAAGAAAGACAAGCGGGTCACAAGACGATGGAGAACAAAAAGTGTCAGCAAAGATACAAAAATACAACTGCAGGTACAGATTTTACTTTTCATTCATATAATTACATACTTTTATAGTCTATATATCAGTTCATGGAAGTTAAATAATTTACAATAACTTAGCTGCTTTAAAACCAGTGCTTTTCAAACTATCTCAAGTAGCAAGAAATCTATTCTTAACTCTTGCATAAGTAAAACTAATTTAAAATAAAGGTTAAAATTATTTAACATGGCTGCGAAGTGACATTTTCATTCTCAATCACGGCCTTTGACCCATTAAAATATATTTTAACAAAAAGTCAACCTAAAAATCTCGACTAAAAATCCAGTGGGTTGTAATGAACATTCATTTATATATACTAGATCTTAAAGGAGTCTTTTATGTGTTAGCTTTCTTCAAACTTTATTTATCAGTAAAAAAGTGAGGGCTGCAATAGGTTGGAAATCAATAAGGTTGGCATCGAGTCTGATCACTGTGATTTCCTGGCAGTATAATTTCATACATTCCTCTAAAGTTTTCTGAGTTTCTGTTTGGTTTTAGGTAAAGTGAAGGAGTTAACTTAATGATCTCTGAATTTTCTTTCAACTCTAAAATTCCATGATTGTCTATCCACAAAAATAGATATTATTTGGCCATCAACGATCACTTTTAAAATCTGAACTAAAGTCTTAATGGATCATGATACATTTACTTGAAATTTATTTTAAATAAGTTATTTATTTGAAATGAGTAATTTCAAATTTTAACATAAGATCCTCTTTTGTTATTTTGTTGCAGGGATACTACATATGATAAATGCCTAAATCCTCTTATGTCATAAATCATATTACTTTCAGATTTTTAAACTAGAATCTCTACTTCTCCAGTCTTGACTATATATTATAAAAAGACTCTTGCCCTGCATAATCAAAATTAGACTTGTGACTTTGCATTTCTTTTTATTGCACTAAAAATCAATTTATATTCTAATACAAAAGTAAAAGGAACTGCCTTTCAGAATTCTTCAATGTCCTCTGAATAAATAACAATAATTCTTTAATTCTGACTGTATTGATAACATTGTGTTGTAATTCTGAATGCATAAATAACAAATTTCTGTTGCTTTGCTTGCTAATCTGCTGTATTTGAAAATAAATTTTCATAAGCACTAAATATCCATGTTTTTTTTTTATTTAGAATGTCCACATTCTATGAACACAATTTTTTGTGTTCCATTGTTCAGCATGTTTTTGTGTGTTTTCCCCTCTATTCAGAAAATTAATACTATAGAGACAAAAGTGCCAGATGACTTTACAAGAAAATTACCTAAAATTGCTTTTGGCAGTTTCATTTGTTCTGAGCATGTGATTGTCTAGTTTTGTGGCTGTTTTTTTGTTTTGTTTTGTTTTGTTTTTTTAAAGCTTAATATCTATGGTTATTATAGAAAAGAACCATTATTAAAAAATTGAAGAAGGCCAGCATTGTAAGAATATATACTTTTACGATTAGATATTATTTCAATCTTGTTTTTATAAGGTGTGCCATTGAACAGATTCTAATTCACAGCTATTGTCTTGAATAGATTGGTTCCCAGTGAGTCTTAATGCAATGTTCCTGGCCACCTTGCAATGGCCACAAGGTCCACCATAGTCCCCATATTGCTCGTTTTTATTTTTCTGAAGGAAATAGAATGCAACTCTGAATAGAATGCACCTGGTCACAGGCTGTGCTTTTCAATGTGCAGAAAGTTTATGGAGTTTTTTTTTTTTAAGTCATCAGAAGAAAAATATTCTTTATTCATACTCCTGCAACATCTTAGGGTGGCTTATTTGTTTTTAAGTTTTTATCTGTGCTGTTTTGCTTTGTTTTGGTTTTGCCAAAAGAATAACAAAATGCCCCTTGTGATTCTAGTTTAATTATTTTTGAGAGAAATTAAAATCAACTAATCTCCACACTCAAAGAAAACTTTAAACTTTCAAAAGTAGGAGATTTTGTTGTACCTCCAAGTGGAAATAGATAGATTTGGAGCTGGCAGTAAGCTAGTAATCATTTGAAGAGACATAGACTGGTAAAACAAAAAAGTATGATGGGGGAATGCTGCAGAATTTGATGCCATCCCTGGACCTTTTCTGCTCATCCAGGGTCCCTTAGGTCCCTCATTCGCTGTTTGACTGAGAAGTTGCTTGCAAGTTTCTTCAACATGCATTCTTGGCTAGGGAGCCATTAAAATCACCCAGGAATGACTAAGACCAATATAAATGTCGTTACTCACCAGTATTTTACCCACAGAAAGACATAGCATTTTTATTGTAGTAGATTAAACATACCCACTACCTTCTCCCACTTTCATATACAAGTTTTTCCCTCCTGTTTTAAATGTTTCTTGACCGTGGGAATTCCATCTGAGGGTACCAAGTATTTGTTTTTTGAGCCCATAATTAGCTCACTATGTGAACCCCTTTCTCTGATGGTCACTGTTGTAGCCAATTGAGAGGTTTTGTAGTGAGTGGCTCATTTTTCATCCCCTCTACTGTTTGTAATTTTTAGTATACCCGCCATTTGTGAAGGAACCTAGACTGTCGGTGGTGGTGCTGGTGGTGATTGTTAGTTACTGCTGTTGTGGTTATTGGTGTTTTCACTGGACTTTGCATTCAGCATCCTATGGCAGTTGTCATTTTGGAATAACTATAAAACAGATTGTTTAAAAAATTGACCCCAGGAAAGTAAAAATGAACATGATATGCTGGATGTTTGACTGCTTATTCTTGCATAGGTTAGATTGTGCTATTGATTTGCATATGAAGGTTAAATTTTGGACCTGTGTGGCCATATTTCTGCTAGAAGCCAATGGGAAGTATAACTCATTGCAGGCAACATTTGTCCTAGAAGGTTCTGTGGAGGTTACCTTTTAGAAAAAGGACTTTGTGTCTCCCAAACGTCAAATTTTCTGGTTCTAATAAAAATTTCAGTATTATCATTGTGCAATAACAGTGGACCGTGTTTTAAATGAGGTAGAGGAAGGCAAGAAGAGACTGATTTTTAAAGGGTTGCTGTGGAAGAGAGAGCTGCTAGATTTCCTGTGTTGCTCATAGCATGAATTAAATGCTAGATCCTGGTTGTTAGAGAAAATGAGGAGTAGTAGCAAATACATGATCTAATGTCATTCATCTGTGGCTAGCTATTCTAGATCTCACAGATGCTCACATTCCAGGGTCAAAATAAGTTCTTTCTCCTTTTTTACTACATTAAGCATACATAGATTTTCTATGGAAGATTTTTTGGTGGAAAGCAGATTATGTATATATGTGTGTATATAATAAACATATCCTATGTATACAGATGATTTATGAAGATGGAAGAGAAATGTGAATGTAATTTGGCAAATATAAAGAGAATTAGAGATAGAAAAATTTAAAATATTTTTCTGTTGTTCCAAAAACACTAAAGCAGTCTTGCTGTTTTTCTTTTTTTTCTCAGTCTGGACTGTTAGGTGACTCTTAAGTACATCTCAGTTAATTGAAATTATTGCTCATGACCATGAACAGTCAGCATCTGTCAAATGAAGGCAGAGTAGAGTAGTTAGAAGGAAATGTCGTTATCCCTTAGTCCTGTCCACCAAGAAGAGAAAAAAAGAAAGAAAGCTCAAGGATTCTATTACTGGTTTATGGATAGGTGCACATCACCAAATGAAAACGATGCTTTCAGGTTTTCATAGCTGATTTTCATAGGCATTGTCCCCACACACTGAGAAAATTGAAATTTTTTTTTCCTATGCTATGGGGACTGGGTTCCTCCTTGGAAGACAGATCAACCTGAAAATCCCAACACAAATCTAAATGTTGAATCCCAGAGAGTTTTATAGAGGAGGGGACTAATGGGGAGCTGAGGATTCCTACTACCTTTCCCTTTACTTTTTCCTCCCAGGGCGGGGGTGCGGGGGGTGGGGGGACAGGAAATTCTGCCTAGCCAACAGGAGGCTCCCATTACAACCCGTTCATTTTAGCCTTTGCATATTATTTATTTAATCACTTTTTCCAGAACTTATTTTTTTTCTTTGCTTCCATTTACTGAATGCCTTTGAGTTCATATAACATGACATTGCATGAATAAAACAGTATACATATTTATTTTACCTTGAAATCTCAAGCTATTCGTCAATTCATACCTTTCCATCTCCTTTTGAAGTGGAAGTTATATTTAGCAAATAGACTTATGTGTTTGGGCGTTCTGCTGTGGGAATGATGAACTTTTCTCATAGCCTGAATGCCCCTTTAAACTCTCCTCAATGCTAAGAATTAGGAAAAATCAATTTCAGTTAAAAGCTCTCCCTCTCCCTTGTCTGATTATCTTTCGTCCTCCCATATCCTGTCCTCTCTTTC